CTATACCCAGGGACTCCTGTACTTTATATATTTCTACTCATATCACCTGCTGTTCAAAGCTCATTTATCAAAGTGAAGAAAACTTTAGTGACAGGTCAGCCCAACAATTTTTAAATATCAGCCATTAATACACATGAAGCCGGTGCTTGGTGTTAGATATCCTGTTAGCCCGACCTGCTCCAGGAACAGAGAGGACCCCAGTGTCTCACACCCCGGCCTCCGCCAGGAACAGAGAGGACCCCAGTGTCTCCCACGCCGGCCTCCGCCAGGAACAGAGAGGACCCCAGTGTCTCCCACCCCGGCCTTCTCCAGGAACAGAGAGGACCCCAGTGTCTCCCACCCCGGCCTTCTCCAGGAACAGAGAGGACCCCAGTGTCTCCCACCCCGGCCTCCGCCAGGAACAGAGAGGACCCCACTCTCTCCCACCCCGGCCTCCGCCAGGAACAGAGAGGACCCCACTCTCTCCCACCCCGGCCTCCGCCAGGAACAGAGAGGACCCCACTCTCTCCCACCCCGGCCTCCGCCAGGAACAGAGAGGACCCCAGTGTCTCCCACCCCGGCCTCCGCCAGGAACAGAGAGGACCCCAGTGTCTCCCACCCCGGCCTCCGCCAGGAACAGAGAGGACCCCAGTGTCTCCCACCCCGGCCTCCGCCAGGAACAGAGAGGATCCCCACTCTCTCCCACCCCGGCCTCCGCCAGGAACAGAGAGGACCCCAGTGTCTCCCACCCCGGCCTCTGCCAGGAACAGAGAGGACCCCAGTGTCTCCCACCCCGGCCTCTGCCAGGAACAGAGAGGACCCCAGTGTCTCCCACGCCGGCCTCCGCCAGGAACAGAGAGGACCCCAGTGTCTCCCACCCCGGCCTCCGCCAGGAACAGAGAGGACCCCAGTGTCTCCCACCCCGGCCTTCTCCAGGAACAGAGAGGACCCCAGTGTCTCCCACCCCGGCCTCCTCCAGGAACAGAGAGGACCCCAGTGTCTCCCACCCCGGCCTCCGCCAGGAACAGAGAGGACCCCAGTGTCTCCCACCTTGGCCTCCGCCAGGAACAGAGAGGACCCCAGTGTCTCCCACCCCGGCCTCCGCCAGGCCTCCAGGAACAGAGAGGACCCCAGTGTCTCCCACGCCGGCCTCCTCCAGGAACAGAGAGGACCCCAGTGTCTCCCACGCCGGCCTCCTCCAGGAACAGAGAGGACCCCAGTGTCTCCCACCCCGGCCTCCGCCAGGAACAGAGAGGACCCCAGTGTCTCCCACCCCGGCCTCCGCCAGGAACAGAAAGGACCCCACTCTCTCCAAACCCGGCCTCCGCCAGGAACAGAGAGGACCCCAGTGTCTCCCACCCCGGCCTCCGCCAGGAACAGAGAGGACCCCAGTGTCTCCCACCCCGGCCTCCTCCAGGCCTCCAGGAACAGAGAGGACCCCAGTGTCTCCCACGCCGGCCTCCTCCAGGCCTCCAGGAACAGAGAGGACCCCAGTGTCTCCCACCCCGGCCTCTGCCAGGAACAGAGAGGACCCCAGTGTCTCCCACCCCCGGCCTCCTCCAGGAACAGAGAGGACCCCAGTGTCTCCCACCCCCGGCCTCCTCCAGGAACAGAGAGGATCCCCACTCTCTCCCACCCCCGGCCTCCTCCAGGAACAGAGAGGATCCCCGCTCTCTCCCACCCCGGCCTCCTCCAGGCCTCCAGCCTCCACTCTGTAAATACTGATTCTCCCAAGGCCTCCTTCTGGGGAAGCGTCTGGTCCTCGGGCTGGACGGGCAGCGTGTACAGGCCTCCTCATGGGGTGGGAGCCTTTTGCAGGACTCCTGGGGTAACTGTCAGGGCTCCCCCACTTCCGGTGGCCAGGTGGTGTTGAGGATGCCCGCTCATGAGTGCGGCCTCTGGTGGCGTAGCCCTCTCCGACCTCTCCTCTCTATACACGTGTGTGCAGGTGCCACCATGAGTTCTGTGCCTGGGTGTGTGTCTGGGTACACATGATGTGAGTGTCCAGCGCTCGCTGTAGCAGGTGTCAACCCCGGGGCCTGGCTGGGAGGCTCGGTGCTGCAGAGCTGTGCACTCTCCAGGTGCCCAGGGCTTCGCAGCTCTCCTGTTTCCTAGAGCTTCAGGAAGGGGATGGTTAACGGGTTAATGATGGAGTGGGGACTGGCTCCTGCGACTTTTGGCTACAGGATGCTTAGCTGCTGCCTGCGTCCTTCCCTAGTGCCCACACCCCAGGCCGGGCCTCCTGCTGGGACTGGCCGATGTGCTCCTGTGACGGCAGGAGCACGGCGGTGTGTGCTCCGGGCCCTGCCTTCCCCTGGCCGAGCCGGCTCTTCCTGAGCGCCCCAGGTCAGCTGTCCCAGCCGGCGAGACCCGGGACAGGTCCAGTGATGCAATGCCCAGCATGAATCGTCAGAAGATTCCCAGTGGTTTGGCTTTAAAGGACAGCTTGTTTCCGTGGGATTCTGACATAACTCTCTCCCATGGACCTTCTCCCTCTGCTGGGGCCGGGGAGTTGCTGTCTGCTTGTTCTGCTGCTAGGGCCTTCCCAGCTCTGCCAGCCTCCAGGGTGACCCCTTACAGCCAGTGAGACGGCTCTCCTGTCCTGACCTCGGCCTCAGTGGCCCTTACAGACAGTGAGACGCCTCTCCTGTCCTGACCTCTGCCTCACGGCCCTTACAGACAGTGAGACGGCTCTCCTGTCCTGACCTCGGCCTCGGTGGCCCTTACAGACAGTGAGACGGCTCTCCTGTCCTGACCTCGGCCTCAGTGACCCTTACAGACAGTGAGACGCCTCTCCTGTCCTGACCTCTGCCTCACGGCCCTTACAGACAGTGAGACGGCTCTCCTGTCCTGACCTCGGCCTCAGTGGCCCTTACAGACAGTGAGACGCCTCTCCTGTCCTGACCTCTGCCTCAGTGACCCTTACAGACAGTGAGACAGCTCTCCTGTCCTGACCTCGGCCTCACTGGCCCTTACAGACAGTGAGACGCCTCTCCTGTCCTGACCTCGGCCTCGGTGGCCCTTACAGACAGTGAGACGCCTCTCCTGTCCTGACCTCGGCCTCGGTGGCCCTTACAGACAGTGAGACGGCTCTCCTGTCCTGACCTCGGCCTCGGTGGCCCTTACAGACAGTGAGACGGCTCTCCTGTCCTGACCTCGGCCTCAGTGACCCTTACAGACAGTGAGACGGCTCTCCTGTCCTGACCTCGGCCTCAGTGACCCTTACAGACAGTGAGACGGCTCTCCTGTCCTGACCTCGGCCTCAGTGACCCTTACAGACAGTGAGACGGCTCTCCTGTCCTGACCTCGGCCTCAGTGGCCCTTACAGCCAGTGAGACGGCTCTCCTGTCCTGACCTCGGCCTCACTGGCCCTTACAGACAGTGAGACGGCTCTCCTGTCCTGACCTCGGCCTCAGTGACCCTTACAGACAGTGAGACGCCTCTCCTGTCCTGACCTCGGCCTCACTGGCCCTTACAGACAGTGAGACGCCTCTCCTGTCCTGACCTCGGCCTCGGTGGCCCTTACAGACAGTGAGACGCCTCTCCTGTCCTGACCTCGGCCTCGGTGGCCCTTACAGACAGTGAGACGGCTCTCCTGTCCTGACCTCGGCCTCGGTGGCCCTTACAGACAGTGAGACGGCTCTCTTGTCCTGACCTCGGCCTCAGTGACCCTTACAGACAGTGAGACGGCTCTCCTGTCCTGACCTCGGCCTCAGTGACCCTTACAGACAGTGAGACGGCTCTCCTGTCCTGACCTCGGCCTCAGTGACCCTTACAGACAGTGAGACGGCTCTCCTGTCCTGACCTCGGCCTCAGTGACCCTTACAGACAGTGAGACGGCTCTCCTGTCCTGACCTCGGCCTCAGTGACCCTTACAGACAGTGAGACGGCTCTCCTGTCCTGACCTCGGCCTCAGTGACCCTTACAGACAGTGAGACGGCTCTCCTGTCCTGACCTCGGCCTCAGTGGCCCTTACAGCCAGTGAGACGGCTCTCCTGTCCTGACCTCGGCCTCACTGGCCCTTACAGACAGTGAGACGGCTCTCCTGTCCTGACCTCGGCCTCACTGGCCCTTACAGACAGTGAGACGGCTCTCCTGTCCTGACCTCGGCCTCAGTGACCCTTACAGACAGTGAGACGCCTCTCCTGTCCTGACCTCGGCCTCAGTGACCCTTACAGCCAGTGAGACGCCTCTCCTGTCCTGACCTCTGTCTCACTGGCCCTTACAGACAGTGGGATGGCTCTCCTGTCCTGACCTTGGCATCTTAGGCCTCGCGGGCGTCCTGGATGCCCGCACAGCAGCCTGCCACCACCACCAGTTCCTCCTCCTCACTGTCCTCCAGCCTCGGCCAAGGTGGCCCTGCCCTGGCTTGGTGCAGAGGCCTGCTTACAGTCCTCTCTCAGGAGGCCAGTGTAAGAGCTTAGGGGCCAAAGCCCCTGGTGGGGCCGGCTGCTGAGGCAGAGCCCAGGGCCCACTGCCTGTGCCATTTGCCAAGCGCACCTGGCCAGGCGTCTCCCCTGTAACCCCTCTGCCCTCCAGAAGGTTCCAGAAGCAGCAGGGTTCCCCAACCCGCCCCGCCATTCTGCAGAGCCATGACAGAGTCACGGGCCTTAACTGAGTGTCTTAGACATTATTGGTTTTCTAAATGGTAGCGCACCCTTGCTCATATTTGGTTGTGCCTGAAGGAGATGTAGCAGAGTTGTAGTCAAAGAAAAGGCTTCCATATTAAAATTAAGTAGTGAAATAAACCATTCTTATTTTGTCTAAGTACCTTGAATATGTTGAGCCAAGTATAGTTATGAAAAAGTGTTTGCTGTATGTCCATGCATATGACACAAAGGGATCGTTATTTCAATAATTTCAATAGATGGTACTGTGTGAGACATTCATTTACCATGGTGTTTTTGAACAAAGTCAGCTGGCTGTGTCTGCCCCGGCCTCTGCCCCTGCTGTTGCCTGTTTGCTGTACAACCTGCATCCACAGACTGACTGACGCCTCTCTCTGTCTCTTCTGATTTCAGAATCGCAGTGTACCCTCTGTGGAGAGCCGGAAGGTGAGTACCCTGCTTCCTCAGGCCTGCCTGCTGGGGGGCTCACGGAGGCCCGTCCGCACAGGGGGCTCGGGCTGCACTGATGGCAGCAGACTACCGCAGAGTACTGCATTCTGTGAAAGTTGAAATGTATACTTTATGGTGTTTGATGGAAAAAAAGTGAGTCAAGCGTTTTTTTCTAATGTGAGGATTGGGAGGAGTGCGTCTCTAAAGAGAAATTGCAGCCAAATTGCAATATTTGTTCTTTCTCTGTTTTGGATTTACAAAATTTGGCCAGCTTTCAACAGATATAGATACCAGTGTGGATGTGCTGGCTTTCAGTGCATTGGCCCAGGGTGCTGGTGCACTTCACACTGGAGACCTGGAGAAACAATTCCTGTTGTTAGAGACTGGACATCAGGAGACGCACAGGAAGCCCCGCTGGCCTCAGTGGCAGTCCGTCGCATTTATAACTTAAGTTTCAGTACACGCCTCCTCTCCAGGCCGCATTTAGAGGTGGAACTCTGGAGCTGAAGCTTTGTTACTACATTTCAAAATAGTTACAGCCAGGCTGACACACTTGCAAGACGCGAGGACAGTGAGGTGCAGGGATCGGAGGCTGGGGTTTGATTACATGGTCTGCTCTACCGAGCCCTTGGCTAGAAGACTAGCCAGGCTTGGAGCTGGGGAGCCAGCCCAGCCCAGCCACTGCCTTGGGGTGGGAGTCCAGCCTGCCCTGCCCCCTGCCCCCTGCCCCCTGCTGGCTGCCAGGCCTGGGTGGAGATGTGAATCCACACTCTACTCCACATCGCCCCCTGCAGGTCACCCCGGGAACACAGTGACCGCAGGGCAGCTCAGAATTCCACCAGACACTGTCTCCTTGCTTTGGTAGTAGGCATTCTGGCGCTGGGTAAGAGCCCTGAGTAGAGGGAGCCATCACAAAGTCGAGCGTGTAGATTTTCAAGTCCTGGGCTTCGCTGCTGTGTGGAATGTCCGGCGCGGGCCCTGGTGTGTCAGGGACAGAAGGGAGGTCTGTCCCCTGACTTGCTCTCTGTCCTTCATGTATGAAGGGCTTTATGTTCATTGGCTCCATGCCTCCGTCTGTTGGAGGTTTCTAGTGTGCTGTGCAGAGAAGTCATTGTGGAATAGAAACCCATGCGGTGCTTGAACAAGTCCCTCACGCTTTCTATCTCCTTGCTTCTGATACCAGTCGTCTGGGTCCTGTGCACTCGCTGAAGCCGGCCTGCGCTGGCGCCAAGGGCAGCCCTGCTGTGCTGGCAGAGAGGTGGGGGTCGACAGAGCTGGCTCATTGCCTGTGGGTGGAGGCCAGCCTTCCAGGGATGGTACCGATCGGAGGGGGTGGGCCTAGGGGAGACCCAGGTCTCCCAGACCAACCCGAGGTGGCCCTGCTGCCTGCCTGGTGCACAGGGTGTGGCGTGGCTGAGCCCAGCCCCAGCCCGGAGGCCCGAGGGTTCCCATGAAGTTCCCCCGTGCAGACACACGGCGAAGGAGAGGGAAGAGGCAGACTCGTGACTGTTCCAGAGCAGGGACATCTGTGCATGTCCAGGCAGCTCTGGGCAGGAGTCTCCCAGCTGTGCAGCCAGAGGAGACACAGAGGTGGAGAGACTTCCTGGGGGGCTGGGGTCAGTGGTCTGTGGTTTCTGGGTATGAGGAGAGCAGGCAGGGTGGAGGGGGTGAGGAGGTGGGGTGGGAGAGAAGGGAGAAGGCGGGAGGGGTGGGCGGGGGCGGGCTGGTCTGCATTCCTCCTCCCCACCGAGTTCTCTGGTTTGGATGCAAGGGGAACTGCTCCAGAAGAGAGAGGAGGGGAAGGCTGCTCTGGTCTCAGCTGTGCTTTATTTGTCAGAAGCACCCGTATATGAATATTCATACATTTTAAATCATGTAAGTAATTAGTCTAAGCGAGAGCTGGCCGGGTGCGGCGCGTGGATCTGAAATCAGCATTTTTGTTCAGTAATTTCTTTGGCAGTGTCTATGGGTTAAGGCATAAATGACACCACAGCACGGTGGTCAGGGCCCGGGTCAGGGCCGGGGTCAGGGCCCGGATCAGGGCCCGGGTCAGGGCCAGGGTCAGGGCCGGGGCCAGGGCCGGGGTCAGGGCCAGGGTCAGGGCCGGGGCCAGGGCCGGGGTCAGGGCCCAGGTCAGGGCCGGGGTCAGGGCCAGGGTCAGGGCCGGGGCCAGGGCCGGGGTCAGGGCCCGGGTCAGGGCCGGGGTCAGGGCCGGGGTCAGGGCCGGGGCCAGGGCCGGGGTCAGGGCCCGGGTCAGGCTGCCCGGACGCACGGCCTGGTGCCCTCCACGCAGGGCGCACCTCCCTCACGCAGCCAGCCCACCAGGTGCCTGCTGCTCTTGTTGGAAGGCTGTTAACAACCTTCCCTGTCTGAACCGGAGGGGTGGGAAGCACCGGTCTGTCTGCTAGAGCGCTTCGGGTACAGATGGAGTCATTAGCATCATCTCTGACAATAGTATCCGTCAAGCAAATGAAGCTAGTTGCAGAGGTTGTCGGGACCAAGGCCCTGGAACTGTACATCTGTGAGTCCCTGTAACTGCATGGCCTATTTTCATTGTACATAAAATGAACATCGTAACCCCTCCATGCCAACTGTCCCCACCGTCCAGCGTGAGCTCCTGGGGGCAGAGCCGGCGGACTTAGGAGGGGAGGTGGTGGAATGACCACGTCTGCGGACATCTCACGAGACCCCAGCGGGGCCCCTGGCCCCCTCCGCTCGTCCCCTGCCCTGGGACTGTCCTGCGGAGGTCACTTCAGAGTTCCACTGTGTAGAGGGCTCTCCTGAAACAGATAACAGAGTCACAAGAGCAATCCATTGGCATACTAGCTTGCCAACTTAGCACCGAAATTGCTCAATTTGTATTATTTTCTTGGGGTGCCTATTGCCTTTAGCAGCTGAAGTGCCTGATGGTAAATAGCTAGAGAACCAATTCTAGCTCCTCCTGACATAGCAACAATGCTTATAGGAAATCATCTGTCAATTTCAGGTAGGAGATAATGAAGAACATATCATCCTTTTTAAACTTTATTGACCGACAATGATGCCATTTGCTTTATAACAAGAGCTCAGGACAAAATACAGACATGGTGCGGGGCTGCCAACGCCCACTCATGGATTTGTCTATTTGCTTACAATCCACAGTTCGATTTGCCTTCATAGTACATAGATTTTTCTGATGTGGGAAGATGGATAACCATGCAAGCTGTGTGGGGAGAGCTTATGAGAAATCCACCAGGGTTTACTAACAGTGTCCTAGGTCTGTGCTGCTTAACCCAATTAAAATGAATAAAAATAAGCTATTAGGACATGAATTTGACTGGCAGAAATATGCTAACAATATACTAGGGTGCGTTTCACATGAAACACTCATCCCAAGAGGAGCCTTGAGATCACAGCCCTGAGAAGAAATGGCTGTTGGTGTAGCATGCACTCATATTTGGGGAATGTTACTTGTAGAATTCCACCAAGAGGCAAAATTCAAGTTTAAAGAAATAATTTAAAGTGCAACATAAAAGACTTTCTTCCTAAATCTTTTTCTTTCCTTAACTTGTATCACCCAAACACAACTTCATCTGTTTGGGACATATAGAATATAGACATATAGAATCTTGTATTTTGTTAGAAATAGGGAGACTCTGAAGTACCCTCTTCCTTCCCAGTGTGTGGTTCAGACGTAGCAAGGAAATGTTCTTGTCCTCAGTTGCTTATGTTCTTGGTGTTTTTAACACAGAAAATTTAAGATTTTCTCCAGAAGTGACTCTGAACAGTGGACTATCTTCCCACGACCTTGAGCATACTCCATGTGTCATGTGGAAATGTTAGGGTCTAATCTTGGGGGAGGGGGTGGCAGGCAATGGAGCCGCTGTTCTCCAAATGAACGCAGAGCGCTTTCTCCCCCACCCGCAGCAGAACCTGACCTGCCTCTGTCTGGGATACAGGGCAGGGCTGCCAGATGCTCTGCTGAGAATGTGCCTTTTAATTGTGTGCCCGCGACAATGGCGGCCTTTGCTAATGGCAATTCTTGGATGGTGAGTGGAAGATAACCAGCTTTGATGAAGTTCTCAACATGGGCTGGACACTCCAGAAAAATTAGTGTTGCCTAGAAACTGCACCTAAGCCCAGCCAACCGGTCTTCCAGGAGCTGGGAAGGCTCGTGTTTAGTGAGAACATGGCAGAGCCCTCTGGGGTGAGAGAGGACTCCATCCCTAGTAAAATTTTATGGTGGAAAGGAAGTCTAAAGTGATATGGACACTCTATCTCCCCCCAAAGACCCAAAGAGACACATAAAAGTGTTGTGGGGTAGATCGTGAAACTGGTTGCAAGACATAACTGCTTAAATGGAAAAAGAAGGAGAAGAGGAAGGGAAGAAAGGGAGGAAGGAAGGAAGGAAGGGCAAACTAATGGTCTTGAACCCGAGAATAACGAGAATAAGACTGAAATCAAGGCTGAGGAAAGAAACGCCGGGAGGCCCTGGCGGGGCTGGGTCTTGGTGCCGGCACGGACGGGCGGTGGCAGCCTGCACTTGTGACACTGGGCACTGGAGACACGAGAACTGAGCGTCTCAAATTAAACCCAGACCGCTGGCGGCCTTCCCCATCTATGAGGAAAGATCTAGAAAAACACTGGCCAGGAACAGAGAGAGACCATGAGCTGAGGGTCGTGGGCAGAACACGCTGCCCATGGTCACGGCAGCCCAGGCCTGGCCTGAGTGGGACCAGCACCTGCCTGTGGAGGAAGGATGGGGGCCAAGGTGGAAATCCCTGAGGCCCCGTCAGGAGCCGAGGCCTCTGCAGGCCAGGCCAGACGCCATCCGCCCTGAATCCCCAACTATCCCAGGCTGCTCCAGCCTTACACAACTACAGAATAGGATCAGAACCCACTCAGAGGAAGTCCAAGGGAAGACCCGAGGGCAAGGCTCTGCACACACACTGTGTGTGTTAAAATTGTTCGATTTTCAAAGGGGAAAGGATCCCTCATGTAAGAAATAGCAGTGTGAA